CGTGATTACGTCAGACGTCAGCAACAAGCTTTGCGGTAGTAAAACAGGAAGTGAAACTTGCTAACTAGCAGAGGCTAGTCATTCTCTGGACAATGGAGCGATTTTTTTCATGAATGCCTTGCTATTGGGCAAGTTGTAATTATTCTATCTATTCAGCTAGTACAGGCTATGTTTAACGCTGCCAGGAGACGTAGGGAAACAAACGGGACGAGGCAGGAAAGCGGAAACAGCTGAACGTCACGTGAGATAAATATGTGCTATGTCAGAATTTATTCTGCAAACATGTTTCCATCTCCYGTTTTGTGCATTAACTACTTTATGAATCATCCAAAAACCACCTCAAGCGAGCGTAAAAACTTTTTAGCGAATTGAGGATTTTTTTTTTCCTAATTTTGCTTCCATCTGACTTTTTCGCGTTTTTAATGCGACACCTCTAAATGTGCATCAGAAAGCCTTGATGGAAACACGGTTACTGTCTTAAATCAGCCAAATGTGACACATTGTAAGTTAGGATGATTGTAATTCGTCTCAATTATTAAAATTAAAATTAAAATTATTATTAATTATTATTATTAAAATTACTTACTATTAAAGTACTTTAAATTTACAGAATGCCTCTCACGATCAGTTGTTCTACGTTAAAATAAATATTTGAGTAAAATTGTCTCTGTTTTTTAAGTTTATTCTAAAGTTGGCATTAAAGAGGTCTTAAAAAGTCTTAAATGAAATTAGCTTTGAGCTGTGGGACCAAATAATTATAATATTAATGGTAGAGCAAACCAATAAAAACTGGTTCTTTCCTCCTGAAATGACTCAAAGATCAGATTTATTTCACTTCAAAGGATCATTTGAACATTTTAAGCTTTAAAAGTTTTAAATGATGAAGGTCTCCAGGGTGGAGACGTGGCTCTGATCAGTGAACCTCGGTTAGAAAACGTACACATGTTTTTGGATGTTTATGTTGAAGGTGAAAACGTCAGAACGGGCCTGATGGTGGACCCCCGCAGCCGAGCTCTGGTCCTGAACGGGAAACCGGGTCACCTTCAGTTCTACTCCCTGCAGAGAGACAAGCTTCTGTTCAATGTGAGACTCTTTTTCCTTTAAAGTACCTGTGACATCATTTTTCTATAATAAATATGAATGAATTGTAAAAAAGATTTCATGTCGCTGAGATGAACGGTTGTTGAGAAATTCACATGTGAACAAACAAGAGTTCCCCTTTGATGTCACTTCCTGTTTCACTTTAGCTGAGCAAAATTTTAAAAAAATGCCAATTATGTGACATAAAGGGTAAAATCATGTGTTTTTATGTCAAGTTTCTTAAATATAAACAATTTTTCTTTGACTTTCTGTATTTCATGGATGCACGTCACTCTGCGCCGGATCTGCGTTGATCCTGAATCAGAGAAAGATCCAGAACTCCAGAAATCCAAAACTATTCTAACCATGGTCCAGAACAGAAACCTGGACCTCCTGGACCCTAAAGTTTTCAGTGTGTTTCCTTCCTGCAGCTGGATATCGTGCAGCAGGAGTACATCTACCAGTCGGGCCTGCAGCAGTTCGAGGTGGTCCGAGCGGCCTTCGATGCCTCCGGGTCTTGGTTGGCCACGGTGGAGGAGAGGAAGCAGGAAGCTGCTGATCTGGAGCTGAACCTGAAGCTGTGGCGTTTTCACGATCAGACCCAGAGGTACGGTTTCTCTTGGTACCGCGTCGGTCCGGCCTTTCCTTTGTCCTGACCTCCTGTGTGTTCCACCCGCAGCTTCGTGCTCGACACCACCGTCTCGGCCCCCCACGAGGCGCAGATTACAGCCGTGTGCTTCGACCCGGCGGCGGCGGCGGACGGGCGGACCACCACGCTGGTGTCCAGCAGCAGAGACGGACACTTCAAAGCCTGGCAGCTGGCAGAGTCAGGTGGACAGACTGTTGTTTCTGGAAGCRTTCAGCTGGAACTGATTCTCCTGGTTCTGTGTCAGATTCTGACCTTCATCAGACTGTTAATCCCTCCTCCTCCTCCTCTTGGTGCCGGCAGGTGAAGGTCCTTCCTGGTCGTGTGAATTTGTCGGCGCCTACCACGGCCTGGTCCCCGGCTGCTGCTGCTTCTCTGCTGACGGCTCGCTGCTCGCCGTGGGCTTCCAGGAAGTGGTGACGGTGTGGAGCGCTGCTTCCTGGGAGCTGCTGACCACTCTGTCCCAGCCGCCAGGAGGCATCAGGTTGGAGTTTACCTTAAATACTGAATTATACCAGCTTCACATGTCTTAAACTTACATTTTCACCAGTTGTTTTTACAACAAACAGGATCTAGATTTATGTAACTAAAAACCCTTAATTAGACATAATATTCACCTATAAAAGCTCCTATTTGATGTATTTATTACTAAAAGACACATTAAACTTAAACTGGCCCATTCATCCTGAAATTAAAGTCAGTTTTTGTCTTTTCACTCGTTCTCACCTTTTTATTTCAACATTTTAACATCCCTGCTCCACATCTACAGCACTTCCTGGAAACGAATCCCCGCCGTCTGATTGGACGGTTTTTAAACCCTGACAGATTTATTTCATTTAGAAACAAAAGGCTGAATCTACAGCTCCAGACTCCGGCGCCTTGTCCTCTTTAAGTCCAGGTTTTTTAGCCGTTAGCTGTGAAAGCTCCTGATGGATGAACACTTGGACGACTTTTCAGTCTGAGCAGGAAAACAAAAGTCTCCCTCAACGAGACGGGTCAGCGAGGGCGCAGAACCTCTGCTTGTTTCTGCTGCTGCTGAACCTCTGAGTCAGCTGAATGAGAGGTTTAAACAAACAGCTAATTAAAAAACCTGCATTTTTTAGCCTTTCCTTTCATTTTTTTAGCTTGTGTGGATTAAAAGCAGGTGAGTTTTCTCGAACACTGAGACTCTGTGTTTCAGTTTGGTCGTCTGTTTTCACAGCTGCGCAGAGCCTCTTTTATATAACCACTGCTTAAAGATGAGGAGGTTGAGGTTTGAACTTCATACATAAACACAGAAACTAAAGATGGCTGCTCTCGCTTCATGCCGGTACAGTCATGGAAAATACATGCAGAACCTCCGTTAGTTCCAAAGTTTCACCTTTTAGGACATGAAAATATCAGTCATTAGTTTGTCTTCATAAAGAGTTTATCATCATATGTGTGTTAGCTCAGGAGCTAACGCTATATCATCATACATATGTATTAGCTCAGGAGCTAATGCTATATCATCATATATATGTGTTAGCTCAGGAGCTAACGCTATATCACCATATATAGATATGTATTAGCTCAGGAGCTAACGCTATATCATCATTTATGTGTATTAGCTCAGGATCTAATGTTATATCATCATATATATGTGTTAGCTCAGGAGCTAACGCTATATCATCATATATATGTATTAGCTCAGGAGCTAACGCTATATCATCATATATATGTATTAGCTCAGGAGCTAACGCTATATCACCATATACTGTATATGTATTAGCTCAGGAGCTAATGCTATATCATCATCTATATGTATTAGCTCAGGAGCTAACGCTATATCATCATATATATATGAATTAGCTCAGGAGCTAACGCTATATCATCATTTATATGTGTTAGCTCAGGAGCTAATGCTATATCATCATATACTGTATATGTATTAGCTCAGGAGCTAACGCTATATCATCATATATGTGTTAGCTCAGAAGCTATTTACAACATGGGTTTACCTTCTGTTAAAGCAACTTGTTGAAGTTCTGGTGAGTGTTAGTTTCACGTTCTCCTGAGTGAGTGACTTATTTTTATTTTTTTCTTCCTCAGGGATCTTTGTTTTGGTCGACTGAGCTGCTCCAAATATCTGCTGGGAACCAACGACAACAAGATTCTGTGYTGCTGGAACCTCCTCAGCTGCTCCTGTATGATGTTTTTTACAGCTCTGCTGAGCACTTCCACTTCTAATGACACAGCTGTGATAATTAAAACTAGTTACAATCAGGGGAATCCACTCAGATTAACTAGTTAGTCCAATAACAGGCCCTTTGTTAAAACGTTGCCAAAGACAAAGAAGATAAATGATTTAAAGGCAGAAAGTCATGTCTGTTCCTGTTGAAACAGTCTTTTGTCTTCAAATGTAAAAATCATCGCAGCACGGCACTCCTCACAGTGAAACTAATATTTTTAGGCCTTCTGGYACCAAAACATGAAGCTATTTATAAGTTAAATTTCTTCCTGTGTTTCAGTGGAGTGGAGCACATCCATGGAYGTCAGCCTGCTGCTGGCCGACCCGCTCTCTGACAACATGGCCGCCTTCAGCGTCCAGGACAGATCTACAGACCGTGAGTTTGAGCTCTGTTTTGTTTGGAGGTTGATTTTAACGTTTTGAGTAAAAACATTTTCTGCGTTCATCGAAACTCCCGTTTGTGACGTCGTCTTCGTTGTTTCCAGTGTTTGTGTTCAGGCCCAGCGAGCCGCGCCCGCTGTTTTCCCACAAGGCCGTGTGCTCGGGGACGGTGACGCACGCCGTCTTCACACCGAGGGAGGTCATGCTGGAGAGCTGCGAGGAGAGCAGCCAGTGGCTGAACCGCTCACAGCTCTTCTTCCTCACACAGTTCATGGTAAAAACACGACTAATGACCCGAGAGCTCTCAGGTGACACCAATAGAAACATTTAAACACCTSTTGAGACGCTTATTTTTAGTGTTTGAGGGACGTTTACATTACTCTCAACAGTCCTTACTTTAATTTAACTGTAGGTTTCAGATTCAGTCAAGTTTTCATCTTTAATAGAAGTTTCAGACAGGAAAGCTGAATTTTTGTCTTAAATTATGATTGACGGAATAAAAACAAGAAAGATGCCTCACTGTGCTAACAAGCTAACTGTTTTAACAAGATAACTGTGCTAACAAGCTAACTGTTTAACAAGATAACTGTGCTAACAAGCTAACTGTTTAACAAGATAACTGTGCTAACAAGCTAACTGTTTAACAAGATAACTGTGCTAACAAGCTAACTGTTTAACAAGATAACTGTGCTAACAAGCTGACTGATTTCTT